CTATGAAGATATACCAATATATATATAGAGAGAGAGTAGTTAATATATATATATATATATATATATATTAGAGTTAAAAGTATTAAATTTATGTCAACTTTAAACAAGTACAGGTCACGTGACTCGGTCCCTGGGACTGAGCCCATGTTGAAAGAGTTAATACATGCTGAGTTTGCACTGTATTTCAAAGCAACTATACTCCCACTAGTTTGTAAATCTACAATAAGAAGATTGCCACGATTGCTAAACAGTCCTCTGCTATTTGGTGATGACAAATAAGCAAATGTTTGCTTCAAAAAGAAGGCATCAGCAAGTGGGTGCTAGGCAAATAAGAGTGTCATATATCAAACAATATCTTTCTTCATTATTCTGGTTAAATTTTTGGATCCAGAAGAATTTTATACTTAATAACATAAAGAAAACTTTAAAACATTATAAATACCTATTGGTCATTTAATTTGAAAAAACTAAGCCATACAATAAACTTTGTCCTTATTAGATAATTCATAAGTTGCTATAGTATGTACGTCTGTACAATTCCATCCGATGGCATGTCAAAAAAAGTAATTATAACTTTAAGCAGACAATACTTTTGCTTGACAACAGTTTGTTTTACGTCATAGTATAGGAGGTGACTAGATCGAAAGAACTTTTAACGCATCACATCCATAACTTGAAGCTATAATGTAACAATTTTTCCAAAATATGATATAGAAAGGGTGGCATTTATTACATGTGTGAATCTGTGACTCATGGTGTTTATGTTTTAAAACCAATGAGAATACAAAGTGTCTCCTTTACTTTAGTAGATAAATAAGTATCATCACACTATTGTTGACAGTTTTCATTTCATTTATCAATATAAATTGTAATGTAAACTTGCACATACAGGTTTTCAATTAAAGTATCTTAGTAGGACTACATTTTCTCACTTTGTCACAGGATTTGCACAACATCATGTTACCAGGTTAAGCAGTTTCAATGAAACTTATTTGTACTGTATCAAAGTTCAATTAGAAAGTTTGCATGACATTATGGTGCTAAAGGTCAATTTACAATTATTGTTTTTCATTAATTATTAAACAAATAACTAAATCTGCAGTGTAAATCACTTACTACAAAACATTTTGAAACAAATTATTCCCTGCTTTGCAAAAATCACATGGTTGTTGTAAACGTCAGTAGTTTCATTTGTTATTAACTTCAAAAAGTTCAATTAATAATCAAGGTTAACAATTTTTGTTTGTTAGTTTTGTAATTTTAAAATCATTATAAAATATAAATTTTAATATTTTATTCATAAGATTAAGTTTCAGTAAACAATTGGCTATAAAAATTACTAGAAGTACAAATTATAATCAACAGTTTAGTCGCTAAAGGTCAATAAAGAAATTAAGCGTGCATACTCTAACAGTAAACAGCCATCTTGGTCCTGACTCATGCTCACAAAACTCGAAATCGAATTGAAACCAGCAAGAACCGGTTTAGGCGAACGTCATAATAGCAGTAACACTGTTAGGCCTACACAATGTTCTACAATTAATTAGCCCACAAGCCTAACTAACAAGACTTTTCGGCGAAACAACGGCCACATAAAAACGACAAATATAACATATATTAACAAAAATAGCTGCAAACACAATAATTTACTTCCAATCTACCTGTCATCATCTGATTTTCCCTTGCCAGTCTCCACTTGACTACTGTCCCCTCCCCCGCTTTGCATCCCTCCATCAGTATCCATTCCTTCCTGTTGATAATGTCCATATTGGCCATCGCTATACTCGTTGTATGAATAATCTTGGTTCTGACCGTTGTACTGATTATCATTCTCCATTTTAATTAAGTTTTAACGTCTTACTTAAAGAAGGAAAATGTCAATAACTTCTTTTACCAAAAACCAGCAACAAAGAGAAACGCTCCCTGCAAGAGGAAAGAATGCGTCTTTGCGGATTGATATTTATAGCCTTCTACCACGTGATAATTTTGCCTTCTTCCGTTGGTCAACAAAGAGTGACGCGGCATGTGACTTTGAACAGAACTAATGCTTCGACGCCATGTTATTATATAAAAAAAAATTAACTTATTTTGATAAGTTTAATTTTTTAAATCCATTCATCACTTACTAAACGCTCATAAAAGTGAAATTTCATTACAAACAAAATTTAAATATATTGTCTTGAAATTGAATGAAAAATAATTCTAATACCCAGAACACTTCGTTTACACATAAATGTGTGCCAATATACAAGTGACACTATTGGACAAATATTTATTTCACAATACTTGTGTACGTTGGCGAAGTATATCATGCTAATACAACAGTAAATTGCTTTCTTACTATAATTGTATCACGAGCTCATTTGCTTTATTCAATATAAAGATAGGTAAAAAATAAGAAACTTTAAAGTTGTTACAACCCATTTTGACGGTGAAAAGAAAAATTTTCCTTTAGATTTGATTATAAAAATAAGCCCCCCCCCGTAGCACAGCAGTATGTCTGCAGACTTACAATGCTAGAAACCGGGTTTCGATACCCATGGTAAGCAGAGCACAGATAGCCCATTGTGTAGCTTTGTGCTTAACTTCAAACAAACGAACTTTAAAAATAAAAATAGACCATTTCAAAAGGCAAGATTTTTTACTGTTTTCAAGATGTTGTTATTTCATTTTCAAAAATAAAAAAAGTTACGTGAATAAAATAAAGCGCATATGGACACATTTCTCCTGGCAAATTAGTAAGTTTTGGAATAAAGCTGTTTATTGTTTTTTTATTATTATTATTTTATGACATCTTTCTCAAATATTTCATTCAAGAAATTGATGGACTCAGGGATAGACAGTGCAACAAATCACGTGCTGTAATTATGGTTATGGTTCTTTTCAGGACAATGCAAAGACCCTTTTGCAGACTCCGAAGGCCAAGGTGTGGAGTTAGAGAGTGAGAAGACCTTACTGTCATCAGTCGTTAACTCATCCAAAGAAAGAGGCTCCGCCTAATGTCCATCCACCACTCAAGCTTTGTGTAAGTTGTATTATTAACATTTCTACATAGTTCTAGTAACGTAGTATTTCTATCATGTCAGTAACATTGGCTAAAATTGAATTAATTGATAAATTATTAAGTGTGTTGAAAGTTTTGATGAGTATCTTGGAATGTTATTAAAATATTGTCCCACTTATTAAGAGAAGAAGCTTATCCCTGTATGTATGTGAATGCATATATTTTGTTGTTGTTTTTATCTTACTTCCACTTCTTTATTCTCCAATTAAATTTCCTCGAGTTGTTGACTTGCGAGTCTAACTCACAAATACAAAAATATCCTGGAAATGAATAGATGTATTTGTAATGAGTGAAAATCGAACCCACAACTAACCACCCTGTTACATACGGTTACAGCTAATTTAGCTATATTAAACTAGTGGCACTTGAGGTGAATCTGGTCGCTAGCTCAAGTGAGTGCCTCAGTAAAATATCCACGTTTACAAGTTAGCACAAATTTTATCCTGGCATATGGTGACAAGGTGGATTTGGGAAAAGGTCCATCTCTGACTTTGTTTTGTCAATATTATGCACAAAAAAGGTAGTTGTCTAGATTCAGATCAAGGTATTGATATCTTAGGGATGAATTTAATATGTAAATTGTCAACCAGTTTTGCATGTTCAACAGAGAAATGCAGTTCTGTGGCAAAACCATTTAATGCCTACAAGAGTGGCCCAAGAACAGTTGATTGTATGCATATATGTTGAGAAAGATGCCGTGATACTGTCAAATGTGCCATGGGTGGTATTCCATGGTGTACTATGGATGCAACGTAGTACATTCTTTCCATCTACTGCAGTGATAGAAATGAAACATAAAACACACTATTTTTTGTCTCGAAAGCAGGCTTCACTTGTTTAAACAGTGATCATTCTGACTACTACAAACATTCATATATTTATTTGCCACATGGACAGGTCATTGGCAAAGTAACAGATGCAAACGTGACACAAACAAGCGAAGTAGCTAATGTCACACCAATTGTACCATGTTTGAGTTGTTTCCACTGCATAGCCTTTCAACTGTTGCATACCTTAAACAGCTAGAGAACGAAATGATATTCATGCTATTTCATTCAAAGGCATACCAGTAAAGCCACCTATAAATTTCTGTGCAATCACACTTTTTTAGATAGACATTGGGAAGTCATAATTTCTGTACACAAGATGCAATATGTAAATCAAACAGGAAATTGTGGTGTGCTTTAAACAGGACAGTCTTATTGAAACTACAATGCAGAGCTATTGTCAAAATATAGCATGACCATACTTATTGAAATAGACTGTAACGATTTGGTAAAACTTCAAAATCGTTTTGATATAATATATGAAACCTCTGTAGTAGCTTTTAAACTTTATCTTCACCATTACTTGAATCCAATAGAGTTCCTCATTTGTGTTGACCATGCATCAATGGAATGGCCAATGAACCTTAAATATATCCAAAATGTATTATTGTGCATTTAAAAACGATACTACTAAACTACAAATTTTCTTGTACAACACTGCATAGGTCAGCAGCACGGAAACAGCAATAGCTTATCTCACCAGCCTATGAGATTATGTCTGTTTGGAAAATGTTGAGATTCTAGACACTTCATACCAATTAAAACCATTCTAACGATATCAACAACGATGAGCGATGACAATTCTGTGTTTGAATGGAAACCACAAATAACTAGTCAGGAATTTCCTGAGGAAGATGTGAAAGACCCGGACATAGCTTGTGTGCTACAGCAATATAAAGCACAACTATTATAAATTCGTTAACACAGATAGTGCTAATGTGCATGATATCTAGCACTTGTATAATCAGTTGAGTGCAAGATGGTATATCTACTGTTACGTCTCTGTTCGTTAGTTAATTTTCCGTAAATTCGTTCCGACGAAACTTTAGCGACACAAGTCCTTTCTTAAATAAAACTAGTTTATTCTTTCTGAATATAACTTTGCAATACACTTAATTTCAACAGTCGCGCTATAACAACGAACGTCTCACGTGCTCAACTTCAATAATACTCAGCTCAATTACACACTCTCTGACTGCAGTTCAATTACTCATTGCACTGTCGTCCCGTCACGTTGTGAACGTCTAATATATACAAGACTAACACATATCTAGTAAATGCTAGGGCATTCTTGAAGGAACAGGATATTTCTAGAAACAGGTGGCGTGATATTAGTCACGTGACCTCGCTGACGCAACACTACCATTATTAGGAGCCATCAAGATATGTAACTAGTCTTTTATGCAAATAATAGTCTCTAGAGTTATAAGACAAATGATAATTCAGATTTTGCTGGATGGCCGCAAGAAGTGTCATATGCAGTTGCCAAAATGCATGTGCAGTTTTTCTGGTTGCATTAATGTAAAGACGTGGAAAGAGTGTGTATACATTCTGCCATGTCTTCTGTCCAAATGATAACTGGCCTCGTTATGGAAAGGTCAGCAGAAAAGTTCTCCCTTCAAGATAATCAACCCTTTCTATAGTCGATTCTCTGCCTCCAAATGAACAAACGTAATCAATGTGTACCTGTGATTTTCAGTTACTTCATTAAGTGAATTAAAGCTTTCAGAATTGCACCTAATGATCTGATTAGTCTTTCTGAAGTACCTTCAATAAGTTGTACCCTAAAACAACATTAAAAATGAGCATAAGCTGTATAAATCAGATTGGATTTTATGCATCACTTTTATTCTTTTTTCTCTGTTACTTTCGTAATGATATGATGATGTGGGTTTTTCAGGCCCACATCATGACAGTATTAACGGGCAAAATATGGAAACTTTGGCTGATTGCTGCTTTGGAGATAAATACATTTTGCTGTCGTCTCCTGTCCTTGTGCAGCTATAGTGTTTAACTGTGTAATATGCATGTATTTTGTAGAAGATAACAATTTTAGATCTAAAGAGCTTTGTGAGTCGTTAAGAGTCGTGTGGATTTATCTATGAGTAGACTTTCTTTAATGTAGAGGTCAAGGTCTGAAGATCCCTGGTGATGATAGAGAAATCTTTAAATGAAATATTTTGACCCGTGAACGAATGGATGAGTGACTGGGTTTAAGTAGTGAATGGTTAGTTCTATAAGATACTCCTAAATGTTCACAGATTCTATTTTTTAAGTGGCGTTTCGTTTTGCCAATGTACGTGACCTTACAGTCACTAGACGTATATCTATACACGAGCCATGAACGTAGAAGTTTAGTATACAGACCTAGCCTCCGCAATAAACATTTATTTCAGTTCAAAGATCAAGTATCCTTTTCAGATTATGATTGTTAACTTTTTTTTTCAGTTATAAGCTAGGTTCATTAGTGAAAAATATATCTGATGTTTTGGTATACTAATAAGTTTAAATGTTATAGTCTACACAAAGTGAAGTTTTGAAAGATGTGGAAATAGAATTTCTGGTTTGTCTGTCAGTTTTATAGAAACGAAAGCATTACTTATTTTGGCTTTAGGTGAACATGTCACTTAGTTTTACACAAGAGTCAAACTTTCTCAACTTACCATCAACTGAGATGCATGAGAGTAATTAAGCAATAGGTTGAAAGAGTTATCTATCTGTAGTAAATATGTATTTTTCGGAATGACATTTATCGAACTTATATGCATAAAGTTCCCAACCAGCTCTAGCCAAAGATTTGTGAAACTTTCTACAGAATTCTCTAGTAATGGTTAATCATAACTATTTATATAGATTCTTAAAAGTTTATGAAGCAAATAAACTTATAAAGCTAAACATGAAAATTGTTGAATATTATTTAGAGATTTAAATAAGCATCCTTTTTAGGGTAAATGTATGTTATACAATATATTACTTATAAAAATGAGTACAAATAATTTAGCAATAAATGTTTTACTTACAAAACATCAGGAAATGCAAAAAGTATGTCATGCAAATTATATATGGAAGTGAAACTA